ATATATTATATATATATATATATATATATATATACATATATATACATATATACATATATATATATATATATATACATATATACATATATACATATATATATATATATACATATATATACATATATATATATATATATATATATATATATATATGTATATATATATACATACAATGAATATGAATGTGTGCGGATCTTGTTGGGTGTGAAGCAGAGTATCCTACACATGTACATAGAGGAGCCAACAATACCTAGATACAGACTTGAAATAACTGTTTTCTCCTCCGCCTGGCAGGCCCCAGGAATAGGTGCAACATCTGGGATTGTTGGCTGCCCCAAGAGCCACTCCTAATTGACACGTCCTTCCTCCTGTGTTTCAACCTACCATGGTTGCCCTGGTGAATTAGGGTCAATTGCATGTTGTTATTGGTTTTACAAGATCAATATTTACAATAACATCACAAATTAACATGAAAATGTGATTAAGTAATTCTTGAAGTGCAAAAGTTATAAGTATGCACAGCATGAGTACAGACTTGTGTATGATATGTAAACAGTGTACAGATGTATACCATACAGACACAACCAAATGTTGAGATCTCACAATTAACATGAAGCACAGAAAAGAATCTTATACAGTCAATATTTTTATATAATGATATTCTTTGTACATAACTATCCTGTTTGTTTAACTGGTGGCAATATTTTTGTGACTAGGGACACTGAGCTTTGTTGCCATATGACTTAGAGCTCAGAGTTGTTTATTGTGTAGACAGTGATGTTTATCCCCTCCTGACTGTAACTGGTTACATTGTGTTTCTTCCCTAATTCTCTTCTTTTCGTGTACTTATAATCTTGCCGACCCTAGTCAAGACCTAGTCTGTATTGTGTACACAAGGACGCTAAGCTGTCACTACAGTTGGAGGTGTCTCCCGGTGGGTTTTCTAGAATGTTCTTGATAGGTGAACTCATGTTGAAAATTCCCTCCAGTGTTTATGTTGTGTGTCATCCCATTCTGAAAGGTTCATTGACAGATACTGAGCCAAAATCAAGTACTCGTTTGGCTAGCTTTCCTACAGCTACAAACATAGGATTTCTTTGGTTTGATCTGTTTTATGTAGATGAAGAAATATAATAACAATTGGGTTACATGAGACCCATAAATACTAATTCCATCATATTGTTAATGAATGTACTCAGTTATATGTAGGTCAATGATATTCCTTATGTACTATAAAATCATATATTCTCTAGCTTAAAAATATTTGTACAAAGAAATGTGAAATTTCTGTTTGGCTTTAAACTGCAGTAATGATATGCCCTGTGTTGTAGAGAGCAAGACACAATTTAGATTATTTATAAACCTATTGTTCGACGTCAGAAAGACAGAAATAAAAAGAAATATAAATAAACTTGGGATCAGCATTGTAATGATTATTACGATAGTCTTACTTCAAGAATGTGATCCCAAGCTTCTTCCAGACACCTGCACACAGGATAAGATTATGTATAATGTCTTAGATGAGTCTCCAGTTTAGAAATGTCTTTGTTGTTGGTAGGAAGGTTACTTAAGTATATCACAACCTCTCATCTAGCTTATACTTAGAGTGATACTCTGCAAGGTGTGCTGAAACACCTCATGGATTGCTCTTCGGCTCTGGTGCAGAATAGGAAATCCTTTGACCAATCTTTTCTTACTTTCTTTACACACACAGAAAAAGGTTCATTAGGAATATAATTTCAATAAGCAATTTGATATGTATATATAATATATATATAATATATATATATATATATATATATATATATATATATATATATATATAATATATATACATATAGTAATACCCTGATATAAGTGGCAAAGTCCATTTGAATAAGAATGGAACTCATGATTAATACATGCAACTGTACTTCAAATGGAAATGCAGTCTCATATGAGTTACTTCACTGAATTTTATCATTGTTATAATGATTGATTATAGATATGATTTAGATATTGGTAATAGTAAAGAGCAGAAATTCCTATATTGTAAGTTGATCAATATCAAAGAATTATGATTTGTAGATAACTAAAAATACTTCAATGATATGATTTACCATATTCACTATACCACCTCTGTGGGGATGTTTATTACTTGTATTCCAGATCTTGGCATGTTTGTATGCAGTTCAAATAGCTTTTCAGGTGTGGAAGAGACTCCTTGTAATTTATATGCATGGATGGTGGAAGTCTATGGTTTTAATTTAATACTAAAGCATTTTTTTAAAACTCCTTGTGTGTTTGAGGCATGGAAGATTGTTTATATATATAAATTGTTTATATATATATAAAATGTGTTGACTGTGTAATTATTATTTGGAATAAGACTTCATGAAATCAGTCCAGATATGTTTTCATCATGACTATGTTTAACATTCAGTGATACCTGTTTAAAGTGACGATAAAGTGAGAATGGGTTTATTGTTCTGACTACAGTATAGATATAAATATATGTATTTCAGCAGGAAAACCATAGTCAAGGTCAACCTAGATATAGTGAGCCTTTATTGTGAATTTCCCATTTGATCTAATCTGGGTTTTTTTCTTCTTTTTTCTATTTTGCCTGAAATGTTCAGATCTAATTAATTGGTGTTTCCAAGGCTTATGGATACAAATAATTGTTATCTTCACAAGAACTACCAACAGAATGAAAGCCCCTCCCCCTCACCAAAAAAAAAGAATGAGAGCCTAACATTATATCTAGGTGATGCCAGTTGCTGCCTCTTGTAGCCAATGTGTTGTGCCTTTTGTTCGCTCCAATATCTTGTAGAAGCAGAACAATGTCTCGTGAGCCACATCAGTCAGCTAGCCTCAATATCTTGTGTGATCACAACCCTTTCCTACCCCTTTTTTCTGATAAACTGTGAATTTTGAAGTAATAGATTATACTCTTGTTTCTGTGGCTGATTTTTAATGGTACTTTTTTCTCGGAAATGTTTTACATTAGAGATCTTTTTAAAAACTAGAGAACAGAAAAATAATCTTCAAACCTCTCTATACTGAAAAGAAAATGGAAATGTGGAAAAAAGGGCTTTGTTGATAGGGCAACATATGGCTGTTTTGTTTTGTTTTTAATTCAAAAAGAAGTACAAAGCTATACATATAAATACTCAAATACCTTTTTAAATTGTTTAAATTATATATTATATATGTTATATCTTGTGTGTGTATGCATATTACATATATATATTATATATATATATATATATATATATATATATATATATATTATATATATATATATATAATATGTATACGTATACGTATATGTATATGTATATATGTATGTATATATGTATATGTATATGTATATATGTGTATGTATATGTATATGTATATATACACACACACATACACATATATGTATGTATGTATACAATAATTTATGTAATTGATAAGAAATATAATATATAATTAAACCCACCTACAATGTATATGCAGCTCAAAAGACACACGGAACATAGAGTTGGAACAAGATTCAGTAAAAGAATGAGGAAAGAATATTCCTTGTTATTAAAAATATATATAAATAGAGAGAGAAATTAAAAAGACATGAATAGTACACAAAGACACTGTCTACGGCTCATGGTAGGCTTAGTATTTTTCTACTAAAGTATGGACTTATAGCTTGATAATGGTTTTTATGAGAAGGGAATGGAAAATGTTCATAGGAATTAATTTTCCTTTTATATGAATTTTCCTTTTATATAAGTAATGAGAAAGTGAAGTCAAAACATGTTTGGAAAGTTTTCAGGAGAGAATAGACTCAGTTTGATAATGTGCAATAATTATTAAAAGCGTTGGTAAAGATTGTGGAGTATTGGTGGTAGTAAGGTAGTATGTGTGTAAACTAATTTAAAGCCCATCAAAATGGCCCTTCTTACTACTTTTTTCTTTTCTTTTAAGAAAAACATTAGAGCCTGTTTAGGATACCTCAAGCTTTAGACAAATTTTGTTGTAACTGTATTTTCCTTTTAACAAGTGACATTTTTTAATCTGAAGTAAGAAAGAGAAACAGTGATTCAAAGCTCTCAGTTTTAAATAATAAAGACAGTTTTATCATAGATCAGGAGTCTTCACTGTGGGCAGCAACACCCACTTTTTTCTATAAGTGATTGATGTTTTTTTTTTCTTCTTCCTAACAAAAACTGTCATAAAATTTAGTGAGTGGCATATTGTAATCTCTTTAAATTATGTCAAAGAGGGTGATGACTAAAAGAAAGAAAAAAAAGTTGAATACCCTTGTTTTTATCAAAGGCTAGAAAGAATGTTAAAAATTAATTTTATTTTTTTTTTATTTTTTTTATTTTTTTTGTTCCTGTGATTCCATCAGTTAACATATTTAAAGAATATGAAAAAGAGAATTATGGACTAATTTCAATGTTTCTGTTATATGCATAGTTCTATAGATGTTTAATATAATTACAGTGCTACGTTTCAGATCAAAGCAAAAGTAACTGCATTTACATACAACAGTGTAGGTAACATTGTATGAGTTAACTTCACCCAGAGTTTTCAACTGCAGGTACAGTAAATCAGATCACAATTACTTAAACTTTCAAATCCCTCAGTGTAATAGTAGCAGTGATGGTCCAAACTTAACCCTTAAGATAGAATGTTAAGCTTTAAACTCCAACATAAGTCTGTCTTTCTATTGTGTTCTCTTGACAAACTGGTGGTAGTAACGAAATAGGCCTTTTAATGCAAAATTCTAAAATTTCTTTTATGTTTGTTACCAAAGTATGAATTTTAGCACTGCTGAATTACTGAATCTAATATGATACCATGTGTTGAGAATGATGAAGTAAGTGGAAGAACCATACTAATTGCCTGTTAAAAATTCAATAAAAAAATGAACAAATAAAATACATATAAGGATTGTTAACAAGTTAGAATAATCTGAACCGTCTACCTTCTATGTCACTGTGGGCATCGTGGGCAAACATTCCCGCCATCAATCATATCTTTGGCAGGTCCAAGCTCTCAGTCCAACAACATGGCTGTATCTTCGGTCCTAATGACAGTACAGTACTCAACTGCTCATGTTTTAGTCAGTAGAAATATATTCTTTACTTTTTCTCACAAGTGTGTTTTTCTCCCACCTTCCCCTAAATTATAAAAATACTCAAGGAAAATTGATTGTGAGTATTATGAAACCAGAAGTCATCTTTCTTTGAGTCTGCCATTTCCTCCTCCTCCTCCTTTTCCTTGCTGCAGGTCTTGTTTCTATTACGAGGTACTGTTAAATGATGGTAACTGTGGGTATGAAAAATTTATATTGCTACATTTCACAATGCAAAACCAATGTAAATATATGAGATGTAATAACAATTAAGTTGTTTACTTTGTTGATTTTATTGAAACCTTATCCTAACATCACATCAAGAAAAAGTCAATACTAGTGTGATCAACAGTATATAACAGAGCTAATTCAAAACATTTAGAGCAAAAACAAATGTTCATCTCTCAAGTGTTACTTGAGAAATTCCATAACAGCCTTTTAGTAGTCTTGCGAAAGATGGAGGAGTTGGTTGTCGAGGGTCAGGAGATAGTGAGGACCTTGCTCGCCAACATACACATAAGGCAATCGCAAAACCCAGTAAGCTGAGGCTGAGAGTTTGACTGGGAGCGAGTTGCAAGGCTGGGGAATATATCTTGGGCAAGGATCTGGCCCTGGCTGCACTTGAGGTTTAGTGTGACATTGACTGGTGCTTTGGGAGTTACTACATGAAGCCTCATTAGCTGTCCATTCACAATGCCTCCAGAACGGCTGTTAAAGAAATATGAGAGAGTATACATCAGTAAAGAGAAAAAAAAAAACAGTTAAATAATTCTACTTTGGGCATCCAACATATCAAAACATCAGTTTAGATATGTTAGATATACCACAGGCTGGGTGAAGCCAAATTGCCATCATGAGCAAAGGCCAGGGTGACAGAAAAGACCTGCCATAAGTGCACAAACCTCTTGGATTGTGATTTGACTCCTTTGGCACTTAGAAGGGGGCTTTAGCATTATTCCCATTGATAAATAAATGTGGAATATAACATGTGTAAGCAGTGACTGAAAGAGCACCAGCTCTAGGGAGGACGCCATTTCCATGCTGCGCACCATATTCCTAGCTGCTGTGACTGGCGGTGCAGGTTGTATTACGCAAAATTGAAAAATAGGAAAATGAGATACATGACAAATAACCAAATGTTCCATTTTTTTTTTTTCCTTGCACCGAGTTATTTACTACAAAGAGATAATATGGAGTATGTGCGGTCTTGTCACCGCTCATGGGTATTTGTGCGCACCCAGCCTTTGCACCACATACCCAGCAAGTTGGCTACTTACATAACCCACTGCCCATGTTTTAGGCACCATGATTTCCGTGACACAACCAGATCCAACGGTTAATCTATTAAAATGATCATGGAGAAATATTATCCCTAATAAATAGCTTGACAGAAAGGGCTGCCTATGGAAAATGCAAGCAATTTTGGTGCATATCTTACCTTCCTAGAGCATTAAATTTCAGAAATTTTGAGTTTAAATTTAAGTACAATTATAGATATCAACTATGTCATACAAACTGACTAACATCTGAGCAATTTAAATGAATTAATGAAAAAAGGATAATTGATATAAGTATGAATACAGTATTTTTAAGTTGACAATGATAGTTTTTTATGAAGACCATGAAGCTCATTTGAAGACGTACTTATGTAAAATTTAAGGGAATAACTTGATGGATCTGATCAAAGCATACTAAATTTTTTATAGGAAATCCACATCTTTTATAGTAATATTTAATTCAGCTTGATGTACAGGTAAGTGGAAATTTTTCTTACTGCCAAGACCTAATAAATAGGCTGTTTTATAAATCATGAATTATTCTTTCTCTCTCTCTCTCTCTCTCTCTCTCTAATAACTATAAAAACATACCTGCAGGGACATGGGAAGTAGAGTGGCATATCAGCATTTGCAATCTTGGTGGCATTGCTTTTACAAGCCCTGATGGGGAAGCCTTTAAATGTCGGTCTGGAGTTGCCATCATAAATCGGTGCCCTCTGACACACTCATATTCAACACCAAGGAAGATCTTGACACTGAACTCGTGTATATCTGAAATTATATTTTGGTCGAATTAAGTGGTACATTAACCATAATCATATCTGAAAGGCTGAATTAGTTTATATATATAATTTTATGCAATTATGTTGAGTATTTTTATAAATTTACTCGTAGCATTTTCCTTTCTTTTTTGTGATTTGATGGTCATAAAATTGTGTATACACCCATCTCATAATTAACTATACAACACAACCAAGCAAGTACAACCTATATAAAAAAATATATTCCTAATTTAATATACATGGATTGAAATCAAAATTACTATAAACTTTAAGTTCAAAATGTTTTTAAATTATTCAGATAGAGAAATAAACTGATTTGAAAAAAAAGTCATAATGCAATGCTTACCACCAACTCTGTTCTTTTTATTTTTGAGCAAAAGGGCTTTCTTGCCAAGAGTGTCTGCTATGGCTGGCCACTTGTTCCGGTCTTCAATTTTTACTGTCACATCCCAAGGTAATAAGAAATTGGTGCCTGGCAAAAATCCTGGCTGATCACATATACCTGGACACAAAATTTTTATTTTAAATTTCTATGCCATCATGAAAGTTAATTTATTGCACTAATTCCTCTATACTGGTAATATATGATAATTTTTATTTTTTTATTTTATTTATTTTTATTTTTATTTATTTTTTTTATTTTTGAATGAACCAAAACTGAGCTACATTCACAATATAGATATTTCCATAATAATTTTCTATGGTCAATCAGCTGACCATTTCCAATAGAATACAAGTAAAGTAGAAAAAATAACATAATATACCATGTTTTGTTGGTACTGTCAACCAGAAAAAATAGGAAGATTAACATTTTAAGTATACATTATTTTACCTCTAGTTCAATTAATATCTAGATAGTCGAATAAAATAGAGATATAAACATACATGTAGCCAATACTACCGAAATTAGCAGACAAACAGACTAGCTATAAATCATCTGAGTTATGTAATCATGAACTAACCACTTACACTTGAAGGGCAATGTCCTCAGCACATTGTTCATCCATCCACACCAAAATCTTTGTTCCCTATAAATTTTAAAATCCAAATTGTTCTTTTATACCTCCCAATAGCATGTAAATAATTAGCCTAATTAATGACCTGTATTCACCCTTTGCCTCCAGATGACATGTATGTCATTCCATGCCAAATATGGCCATCTCACTGGGAACACATGTCATCATGCCACCATTATCTCAATCCAAACACAGTCTAACTTTTGTGGACTTTTGGCCACAAAAATTACACAAAAGTCTCATTATTTCAAATGAAGTACAAATCAGGACTATCAATTACATATGGCATAACTTAAACATCGCATACACTGCCATGTTTACATGTAGCCTGGTAGTTTAGGTCTTTCAGTGTTTTAGCTGACCCAGAGGTACTGGGTTAATGAAACAGACATCACACAGTAGCTAAAGTGCTATTTTACTAACCTGCATTGTGTGAGTAAAGAGAGGAGGGTCCCAAACAGCAGAGTGACCATGAAGACCAACGAGGAAGTAAACCTGCTGGTGAGTTGGTGTGAAGCATTCCTGGCAAGTACTCTGTTGTTGAGGCCTGTCGAATTATTCCCCGGTCTGAAGATAATACAAGTACATATTATCGCCGAGTATTTCTAGATCAATAAAAAATGCTTGTTAATTCAACTATTAAAACCCTGTGGCAAGACTTTCATACTGAAAATTTTCTTCTACAAATGAAAGTGTGTAACCCTCCCCTTCCTGCACTTCATCTCTGAGATATGAGTTTCAAAGTAACGCAGTGTTACTGTCTGTGTAGTTGTGTTTTCCTTTTCTGTTACTTTATATTTGACTCTATCTAGCAACCACCTAAATTAGCAAAGATTTTTTTTTCACTGAAACTGAAACAACAGATATGTATTATTTCAAGCTAACCTTGAGAAAACTGAATTTCAAGGCAAATATTATTTCTATTTTTACGGAGTGCTATTATATCCCATCTTATACATTGACTGTAATGTCAGACAATAATCATATGCTAGAATCAGCAACTAAAGAGTAAGATTCAACATAATTTTTGTTGACCTCATCCTAATGATGCAAAAACTAATCTTACCTTTAGTGATGGTTTTGGTGTCATCTTTGGTGAGGGTAATCACTACTTGTGAGCCAATATGTGCTGGATCGCCTGTCATGCGAGCTGCTGCTGTGCCTGTAGTACTGTTCATGCTCCCGCTCAGACCTGTTCCCACCAGGCTCAACCCTGGGGTGTGAGGGGTCTCTGAGTCTTGCTGTTCCCGGGACTCTCGCTTGACTGTGGAGATTGTATCAGCCTCTATCTCTTCACTTTCAGAGCCATTCACATTTGCAGCTACAAAAAATAAACCATAATTAGAATATCAAGCTCAGATTTATTGACAGCATCATGTTCTCTCAGACACTATGTGATAACTATGTTCAACAACTTTCTGATACCTTTTAAAACACATAAAAAAAAAAAAATAATGCCATCATTTCTTAGTTCTAGTCCTTACTATGCACCTTTTGCATCAATAACACTTGATTTAAATGTTGGAAAAGAAATTGTATCCAGGCGGCTGCAACAAGTTTCTGATAACTGTTCATAAAATGTGTAGTTTGCTGCCTTAGTAGAAAACGGATCCTCACGTTGGCCCTGTCTCCGCCCACAGTTACAAAAGCTGACATACCAATGCCGGAGCTGTGACTCATCACAGGTACAGAGCTAAGAAATGTGAAAGAAAACATTACATCTCTGATTAAAAAGAGTACAAATACATTTGAATGTTATACCTCTAAAAGAAGTACTTTAAAAACAATGAACCAGTCGTCATTCATAATATGATACATATAAAAACTTTATATCCTTGAGGACTAAGAGCAGTTCCACCAAAAACCTTGCATCATCCTCCCACCCACCCACACACACACAAATCTTTACTACTGTTATTCATATGTAACCATTCAGTTCACCATTACCTGTCATCTTCTGAATCAGAAGGTGTCTTGTGTCTTGGATGCTTACAAGTGTTGCCAGTAAGTGACAGTGTCTCACACCCCATACGACCATCCTGCCAAATCCTCTCGCAAGCCTCCTCCAGTTGGGCCACATACTCATCATACATACATTGGCCCTCTTGCTTGGGCACCTAACACTCTCAGAGCCAATTCAAGCTGGAATATTGTTACAGTGTGTTAGGAGACCAATATTTAAAGCAATAACAATGACAATACCAATGAGTAAACATGAAACTGAAAGATGAAAGAAACCAAGAATATATACAATTCTTACAAACCTTTTCCTGATGATGAAGCTGGTGTAGTGGGGGGAAGACCATCCTTGTAAGCCGAAATGGCAATTGGCAAAACCTTGGCACATCGAGCATCACTAAATCTGACTTCTGTCTCCACCAGAATTTGAAGACTATTTAAAACCTAAAAAGTAAATTTTTGTTTTACTGAAAGTAAGTTTTCTTTTACTAACAAAAAATATTAATCACATTAAACAAATTCAACCATCTTCATTCTTTGATTTATATATACTAGAATTCATACTTGTTTCTGTGTACAATTCAACCAATCTCTTTCTAATGATTCAGGCCCTGAAAAGCCCCCCCCCTAAAAAAAAAATAATAAATAAATAAATTTCCATCCAACTGAACCGAAAACAAGGGGGCCGGCCACAGGGCTATATATTAACAACTTTCATACCGTAAAACCACAAACCATGATCAGAGACCTACTTAAGTTCACTTTTTCTCAGCAACCACAAGGAGTTGGGGGGGGAGTTCTTGGGTGTGTTAAAAAGGTCTCAAGGTCCTGCATGGCTTAGGCTATGTGGCATTCTGATAAGGGGCCCCTATAAGGGGTCAGAACACAAAACACCCTAACATGACATGAAAATCCAGACCCCTTGAATACACCCCTAAACAACAGCAAGGGTTACAGAGGTGATCCAGGGTGCTATGGAAAGCTCTCACAGAGTAAATGAGAACGGATAAGGTTTAAGTACACATATACCCTTATAGACTCTTTAACCACCCCTAAACAATGGAATGGGTTAGGGAGATGATCGAGGGTGCTGTGGAAGGGTATGATAGAGTAGAGGCGATTGGGCACAGTTTGAGATCTTGCATTCCTTTAATATAGTGGGCATAGGCACATGTGTCACCTTTTCTGGTGCGCCTCTAAACTGCATTTTGTGCATGATAAACCATAACCATAACCAGAGACCTACTTCAGTTCACTTTTTCTCAGCAACCACAAGGAGTTGGGGGGGGGGGGAAGTTCTTAGGCGCATTAGAAAGGTTTCGAGATCCTGCGTGGCTTAGGCTATGTGGTGTTCCGATAAGGGGTCCCTATAAGGAGTCAGAACACGAAAACACCCTAAAATACTGCTTAACCCAGTAACGACGGTGTCCCACATATGAGACACCCGAAAATATAAACATTGCTGAGCGTCCTGCCAGTGTGACACTGTATTGGCACTTGCGCTCTGACCCAGCAGCAGGCACGCGTGGGCAGAGTCCGGTCCAGCCCCACGCACCGATTTTGCAGCCGCCAGGAAACTTTTATTTTCGGCTTCAAAATATTCCGGCAGTAATGGGTTAAATATTGAAGCAACAGTACATGGTTGCAGGTTTATTTAGGATGCTATGGAAACCTATCACAGAGTAAATTACTAAATTAGACTGGGTACGGTATGAAAATTTTCATACCTCTTATAGACCCATTATAGACCCTTACTACACCCCTAAACAAGGGCAAGGGTTACAGAGGTGATCCAGGGTGCTATGGAAAGCTATCACAGAGTAAATGAGAATGGATATGGTTTGAGCACTCGTATAACCCTTATAGACACCTTAAACACCCCTAAGCAATGTAGGGTTTACAGAGGTGACGAGGGTGCTATGGAAATCCATGGCAGAGTAGAGGGGATTGGGCACGGGCACGTTTGAGATCTTGCATTCCATTTAAATATAGTGGGCGTAGGTACATGCATCACACTTTTCGGGGCGCCCTCTAAACTGCATTTTGAGCGTGATAATAAAAAAAGGAAAAAAATAAGGAAGACAGTGTGAAGCATTTCTTATGATACATATAAAAAAGAATGGTTACAACATTCAAAAGCCTATTATGAATCTCTTAATATTCTTGGAAAAATTGGCAAGCAACAATCAAATTATTTAACCCAGTGGCCACAGATGGTATGACTTGTGTATACACAGGAGACGTTTTCTCTAGTGCTTAGTCACCATAGAATCAATTATCAGTCCAATCTCTCTCACCTGTTTTCACTGATTTCAAAAAATATATAATCATTTTTATTCTTATTAGCATTCTAATAATAATTAATAATCAAGGAATGGGAAAATCAGGCACAGAAACTTGTGCCTACTAACTCCTTGGAGGTTGAGCACTTGTGGAGCAATAAAACAAACAAACAAATGCACACACACACGTGCACGCGTACACACACACAAACACAACAGACACACGAAAATGTGGAGGATAATCCAGTCCATAAATTCACAGCTTATCAGTTATGATACTAGCTACTATTGATGCACATACTATTTTTTTCCTTCAGCTAAAATAGAAAGAAGATAAGTAATGTTTAAACTTTACCTGTTTTGCTTTTGTGTCTTTCTCTGAGGGGTCACAACAGAAGAACTTGTACACTTTGTTTACAGCTTCAAACCATATGCCAGCATGTGGGACCTAAGTTAGAAAAGATTGCAATATATTTTTTGAGGATATTTCTTATTCTAAGCTATTGGCATTTCCTTTTTAAAAAATAATATACATATTTTAGCACATCTGGCAGTGACAAATTATTGCTGGTGCTATGGAATACTAACATAGAAGAAGACAGGGCCAGAATGTCTTCCAACATTATCATCAAAGCCCTTCCCTAATGCTTGGTCAATGTGCTGCTGAAGAAACACATTAAAGCTGTGCTCTGAAAGGAATTTAGTTATTACTTTTTGAAATGGTGTTTGGAGATGGACTACAACAACCCATGGACATTTCATTTCTTTTCACTTAGGAAGTGCCTGACTTCATATTCAACTCATGGGATACAATAACAATTTCATAACTGTGTCATGGAATACAAACCAAGATTTCTCTTTCGCTCTGTTGCAACCCAGACAAAATGATGCACTGAGAGAGTCAGCAGCTGAAGTGTCTGAAAGGCTGAACAGGCCAGGGATGTCCCAAGCACTGATGCACCTGAAATGCCCCCCAGGTACCAGTTCCTCTGCTTCCTTCCTTTTCTGAGGAGGAGGTTTGTTGCTAGATCCAATAGTCAGTTGGCTTAATTCACTGCTTAAGTTAGAGTCTGCAAAAATAAAAATGAGAATATAAATCATGTGAGAGTAAAGAATGATGGCCATTTTTGGATATACTATAAATCAGGGATGGGCAAACTTTTTGGCTCAGGAGCCACACTGACTTTTAAAATTTGACAGACAGGTCTGTCCAGCTCCAGATGCATACATATACAGCTTTATATTTCCTGTCTATCATCTTTCTGATTCCCATTCTCATAAACAAAAATAAAAAACAGATGGAAAAACATCCCACTCAATTGCTTTGGCCATTTGTCATAATTATGATATGTTTTTATTTGTACAATTCTATACTCATCTTTGGCGTGCTGGATTAAAAGGACCAATGGGCCGGAAATGGCCCAAAGGCTGTAGTTTGTCTACCACTGCTATAAATGATACTTTTAAAATATTCCACAGCAAGATGGAGCACACACCTGATGCAGAGCACAGGTTATGAAGAGTGTCATTAATCAAGGAAGCAGCTGGCACTTCCTCCTGCCCTTCCTCCATGATGTATATGCTTGGAAGAGCAAACAGAGAATTTGCACTGATAAAAAAAAAAAAGTATCTGATTAGATTACTCAACAGTAAACCATATACAGGTAGTACACATATCATACAATACATATATTGACAAATACACTGTCTCTATACAAATACGCTGTCTCTGTAAGTTTCACTCTGTAACAGAATTAACATATATATACCTGATGTTGGTTATGACTCTGCTTTTACGAAGGAGACGGTATATTTGATCTTCTAGAGCAAGTTCCAGGTTTCGAAGAGGGCTTGGTGGGGAGGTTCTGTATGACCTGTGGCCTCCCATAGACCTGAGCAAAAGGAACACAGCATATTATTTCCCATTAATATATAGGAATTAGAATAAATATATAAAAAAATAAAAAATATATATTATGCTCTAAAATTAATAAAATTAAATAAAAAGCTAAACACATTTTTTTCTATGCAAAGACTTTCAATATGCTTTATATTTCTTTTATTCATGTTCTACAGTATTTCTTTCATTCATTTGATAGAAGGTAGCAAATTATGGCTGTAGACAAAACAAATTGAATGCAAATAATTGACAGTAATGCAGAAGCCATCAGCTAGAAAGGTTTATTTTTTCCATCAATTTAATTTCTATTGAACATTTTCTATTTCATGAAAAATCTACTTCTAAGTGATGAAAAACACAAATCATATAAATACAATGATAATAAAAACGAGTGATCATAAAATATATACAAAAAAAGAAATACTGAAATCTCTCTTTCATCAAACATGTCTCTTGTGAGTAACCAATATAAAAAGAACTTGGACTGCAACAGAATATATTCCAAGTATATCCAGACTTAGACTACATAAAAATATAGTTCAAGTATATCTAGCCTACCTGTGAACAGCAGAGTTGTCCTGTCCAGAACGAATCTGTGCTGGCAAGAGGTGTGACGAGAATATGAAGAGAACCCGGGGTGCACAGAGTCGACCAAATGAGACCCAGTCCTTGCTGATTCCTGGCACAAGCCTTAGGGTTTCTGCTATGTAATTCTGGGCTTTGGACCTGATAACAGACAAATATTAAATACCATAAGAAAATAAACAATACCCTAATAAAAGTTATCACTACATACCCTCTGAATACAAAAAACAATGAGGCTGCACACTCATATGATACAAACAGTGATGGAAAGGCCATAAAGTTATTAAAGAAGACAAGAAAACATACCTGATTGCATCTAGGGTACGGAAGAGGTGAATGTAACTAATATCAAAGACATGTGTTGGATGGCACAGAAGGAGCAAATGAGAGACAGAAAACAGCACCAGCAGACTTCGTGCATAGGCCAGCTTTAGGCTGGACCAGGCCATCAGGAATCCCTGTTTCATTGAATAAAGTAAAATTTAATTTTAGTATTTTACATGATCATCCTGCAGTAAACTAAATCATTATAAGTAAAAAAAGATATTTCATGAAACATATGACTAAATGGCAGTTATAATTCGCAGTCATTTCTTGACTGCCCAAATTCCTCTAATTCCAGCATATTTCCAGAGTAAAATATTAATAAATTTTCAATATTTTGCAACCTAATAAAGTTCATGTGATGTTTATGAAAGCAAAAATGGCCTTTCAGGAATACTGAAGGCAGGGTTTGAGAGAATGTGGACAACAAATTAGTCCTGCAGATATCACTCAGCCCAAATATCTTGAAAGAATATTGCACCTACTAGCAAGATATTAATTCCTTAATATATAACTTCTCACTAAAAAATAAATCAAACATGAGCAGTACCTTTTCCTGGAGTTGCTGATGCATGGTTTCTAAGGCGCTAATGAGAGCTGCCGTGTCATATGCACCAGTCAGGTGAAGATATATGGCTCGACGGTCAGGATCATAGTACCCTTCCACTCCGGTCTGAGTTACAAATGACAAACAAAGGTATGTTTCATTATCTGTGCAGAATCTCCAAGAGTGAGTGACGGAAAATATAAATAACTGGTATCCATTTTATGTGATCTGATTCTCTGGTTAAATATATCATGGTAATGGTTCACCTTATGAAAAAGAAATATTATATGACTGTTATGTATCATATAGGTGAATTATGGACCCTTAAAAAAAAAAAAGAAGAAGAAGAAGAAGAAGAAGAAGAAGAAGAAGAAGAAGAAGAAGAAGAAGAAGAAGAAGAAGAAGAAGAAGAAGAAGAAGAAGAAGAAGAAGAAGAAGAAAGAAGAAGAGAGAAGAAGAAAGAAGAAGAGAGAAGAAGAAAGAAGAAGAGAGAAGAAGAAAGAAGAAGAAGAAGAAAGAAGAAGAAAGAAGAAGAGAGAAGAAGAAAGAAGAAGAGAGAAGAAGAAAGAAGAAGAAAGAAGAAGAAGAGGAAGAAGAGGAAGAAGAAAAAGAAGAAAAAGAAGAAAAGAAGAAGAAGAAGAAGTTGAAGAAACAATGATAAGAAAATGAAATATATTGACTGATTGTCAGTGAGAGCCATTAATTATAAATCATTCCTTTCTATGAAAATATGAAAAAAGTAACCCACCACCTATCTACAACAGAGCTACAAAGGCAGCACATACCATTGTCTCTTCATCAATAGCAATGGGATGCGTCATGTCCCTCTGAAAGATCTTCCTTCCCACCATCAGCTCCAGGGCTGCGGCTTTGCATCCTCCAGAATCTAAGCCACTCTTGCCAAACACAGCTACGACCACCACACGCTGTTTTGCTGTGGAGTCCCTGGAATAGAAAAATAAATGGGTATTTAAGTTATAAGAATTATAATACTCGTATCTTGATGTTTTCACCTAACCCAATGTCAATGGGAAAATGTTACATTCATTTTAATATTGTTTTGTTAAATGTTTTTGCATATAGATGGCTCTGCCAGTGCTTAGCCACAAAGGAGTCAATCAGTAAATCTTGTGACCTCTCCTTTCCTTGAAATGGCAGGAAAATACTTTTTATACTAATGCTATCAATATTGACACTGTTATTTTTGTTATAAACATTACAATTACTATATTGTTATTGACATTACTACCAGTAATATCAAATACTACAAAATTTTATCATAAATCAAGGAAAAGGGTAAACAGGTGAGACAGGTAGTTTTGTAACAGGCTCATTGATAATTTAGTACTTGTGGAGCCATCTACATGTAAAAACAACCTAATTACACACACAGTAGCATGGCATCTACACATATGCCATCCCCGGTAGCATGTGTTTAATATACAAATAAAACAACAAAACAACAACATCAACACATTGAACTAAATACAGGACTGAAATACTTACTGCGGAGTCCATGTTGT